GCTCACATTTGTGGCACCCCCGATATCCATCCTCTCTGGGATTTGAGAGACTCGGTATTCTCTGTCCTCTCAGTGAACCTCAGTAGATGAGCACCAGTCCCAGGAGTGCCAAGGATGAGCTGGGGGGATACAGATCAGGATGCCTGCAGTGCTAGTATCTTCATGAGACCCAGCCTGTATGAAACACTCCAGTTCCTCTACAAGGTGTCCCCTCTTTCCACAGTGTAGCTCAACAAAACCTCCACTCTACTCCCCCTTCTCAGGGCTCCTGGCTGGACTCGGACCAGCGTCTGCTACAGCATACCACAACCTCAGGATTCTGTCTACCCAACTCCTCAGTGTCCACCATGTCTGCACTGTTCTCTCTTGCCAACAGGGTATCAGCCCCCTCTTATCCAGGGGATTCTCTCCCCAGCAAGTGTCCCTCTGGCTCATTGCTCCAAGAGCTGCAACCAGTCAGGGCCTGGCCCCGTCACTGCCTCGCTAGGACCGGTCAGGTCTGGGCCCCTTAGCAGAGCCAGCTCCACTCTTGCCTGGGCCTACGGCTCTGGGCTGCTTCCAGGTCCCATTCCGGGATTTGCTGGGCTCTGCAGGGTGGCTACCATGGCAGGGATGTTTCCAGTCTCACCTTGGAGCTCACTGAGGTTCCAAGCAGGAAGTGTAAGATCCACTTCAGGCATTGCTACCATATCACTCCCGCCAGCAAAGCACTCATAGTCCATTCTGCTTTCCCTTCACATTCTCCCTTTCCCTTTTGAATGCCTCAGGTATATGTTCAGCTTTCAAGGGTTAGTTTTTGAATTTGGCTTTGTCTGACCCTTTGTGTGGTTTCTCTCTATTCCACATGTATGTGACACCAGAACATGTCTTTCTCCTTCTGACTTATATAGAATAATCCCTTCCAACTCCATCTATGTTGGAAAATGACATGTATTTATCTTTTTTGACGAATGGGTAGTATCCCATTGTATATAGATACCACATCTTCTTGGTCCACTCATCCCAAGCAGGATTTTTTTTTAAAGATTTATTTATGTATTCATACAGAAATGGGGTACAGACCAGAGATGCGGAGGGTGAGAGAATTCACCAGGGACAGAGTGGGAAGCAGAACAGGCAGATCGACAAAGTACACTGCTGAGGGGAGCAGTGGGCTGGCCAGGAGAGGTCTGCTACGCCATGTGGATCTCCTCCGGGGCAGGCGGGGATTGAACTCATTCAGAAGTGGCTTAAGCTTCTTAGTGCAGTGCTTTAACCCACTTAGCCACCAGGGAGGGCCCAAGCAGGATGTTTTAAGGCAGATTATAAATAATGTTCTTTGGCTTCACTTGTATTTCATCAACAACCCCTCCATCACACTTGCTCACACAAAGGGAAAGGAGCTGGGAAAGGTGATTTAATTTTGTACCCATGAAGAAAAGAACTAGATGTTGGTAGACAAACTACAATCTATACACACACCCTTCTTCTTAGTTTTCTTGTAGATTTCTATTAACGGAAGCCATTGTCCAGTTAACTTGGCATGATGAATGCTGTCCACCAGCAACTAACCAGCAGTTTTTAGTTGAGTGTCAATAGAGAAGCTGCTTCCAGAACAATCACCTTCAGTGGTAAGACAATGCACTTTTATTGGACACTACTGTCCATCATGAGCCGAGCATAGGAGAAAGAGTTCAGATCTGGGACACTGGGTCTATAGTGAAACCTTTTCCTCAGAACATCTTTATGTGCTTGACAATAGAACTTGTTCAACAAATGGCCTATTGAAAGGTTTTGTAAATGTGTTCTTAATTCTAAATGTATGGAACTGAGGATGAGAACAGTGTAATAGGGATAGGGAAGTGGCAGAAGGGAAGACTTTTGAAATGAGCAAATAAAAGCTTCTTTCATCTGGTATGTTGGCAGGGAAGTGTGGTTGTAGACTGTCTTGCAGGTGACTCTGGACCCTGCAAGGGTTGGTGATTTGACATATCCTGAGAAGCGCCCCTATACCCCAGATTTCTATTCTTGCTGAAAGAATATGATAGACTCATCAGGGAAAGTTTGGCATTTTAACTCCTGTTTCCAGATTTCAGCTGGTTTAGCACCAGCCAGACACAAATACAGGAAATCCTAGTCACAAGCTTTCTTGAGGTCATAGCTAAAAGGGGATGAATGAGACACTCAATTGCATTGTCTCATTTGTCAACATTTTGTAAGGAGAATTCCTTAAAGCAAACATTTAAAGGTCTCTAATTTTAAACAATTCCCCATCTGCTTTGAAAAGGTATCATGGTCCCTTTTTCACTTCACTAAAAACTAAAATTGTGCTTTAATGAGTGATCTTGAAGGGGTCATGCAGGACCTTTTCTTCAGTCCAGCCTCCTGTGTTTTCCTCACTAACATCAAGGGATAGCTATTTGTGGGGTAGAATCAAATGAGAGAAAGGGACATGTTCAGCCCCTCTTGTGAGCCACTGACAGGCTAAGTTGCTCCAAAGAACATGAACGATTTGTCTCCCTCAGTCTCTGAGGCCTCATTATGGGGACAAACCTTGAGAACTTGTTACCTCTTGACACATATGTCCATGAGCAGAGCCACCAATAGCACTGTGAGCAGGAGCAGACCACCTCTGCCCTGCAACAGTCCTCTCTAACCCTGTGTGGGTCACAGGGGATGAAAAGCCACTTAATATTTAAAGTCAAGGTGTCATTTAAGATTTGAAGATGAATTCCATTTTGTTATATCTGAAAATAAAGATGGATTCATCTGTGGGAGGTAACTACCAACTTCCCTCACCACATCCACCATGATTTAAATCACCACCTTCTAAAAACATGGTTTTCTCCTTGCACCTGAGGGTAAACAGTTCTTTCCAACACTTAACAGCCAAAGTAGAAGAGGCAGCAGTGTTCAGTTGCTATCACTCTGCATTTTAGAGATCTCTATCTCATCCATAAACCTATAGATAGGGTAGGCTTTTGTATTACTGTTATTATTTACAACTTGTGTTCTGGATCTCGAGAACTGAATGGAAGAGAAAATATTCATGGCACCACTCATGCATGAGGAACTGTGCCTGTTCTTTCACACATGCTGATTAATATTCATTTAACATTCCTGGTAACCCAAAATGTGATATGTATTCATTTCTTAGGGCTGCAGTAACAAAAGACCACAAGCCAGTGAGTTAAAACAACTGGAGGGCCCTCCCTGGTGGTGCAGTGGATTAAAGCACAGCACTAAGAAGCTAAAGCCACTTCAGCATGAGTTCGATCCCACCCTAGAGGTGACACACATGGCTTGGCAGACCTCTCCTGACCTGCCCGCTGCTCCCCTCAGCAGTGTTCTTCGTCCATCTGCCTGTTCTGCTCCCCACTCTGTCTCTAGTGAATCCTTTCACTGCCCCTGCACCTCTGGCCTGTCCCCAGTTCTGTAAGCATAAATAAATAAATCTTAAAAAAAAAAATCAGAATGATTCCTCTCACAGTTCTGGATGCCAGAAGTCCAAAGACAAGCTGTCAGCAAGGGTTGGTTCCTTCTAGAGGCTCTGAGGAGAAATCTGTTCCATGTCTCTCATGGTGTCTGATGACTGCCAGCAATCTATAGTGTTTTTTGGCTTGTATATGCTAATCTCTGCCTCCTTTGAGTGACATTCTCCCTGTGACTTGTGTCTGTATCTCTGTCCAAATTTCCCTCCTCTTATAAGAGTACTTATAAGGGTAGATCAGGGTCCTCCCTAGTCGAGTATAACCTCATCTTAACTACATCTGCAAAGACCCCATTTCCAAAGACCACCTGACAAACAGTACTTTAACATATCTTTTGTGGGGACACAATTCAAACCACAGCACAATACAGCAATTCACAAGATTACAGAGTCAGAGACTAATTTACTCAAAGATCTCAAAGATACAGGACACAGTATAATTCAGTTTTTAATTTATGCAGACCTAACTATTTCTGTTTTGAGGGCCCTTGTACCCAACTTTCTTCTGTATGCTTCATTTTTATTTCTGACCATCACATCAACCACATGTGATAACTATCTCCCATTTTATAAAAACAGGTTCTGAGAATTTAACTGGCATGTCTAGAGTCATACAAGTAGGCAGTGAAGGATCGAGAAAGCAGTCCAGTAATTCTCAAGTCAACATACCAGATCAGCATTGTAAGAGTTCACCCCTCCTTGAACCTTCCTGGTCTAACTCCCTACTTGAAGCTGAAAATCATAACTGTAAAGGACATGTGACTAGAACTTCCCATAAAAGAGTACAAAAGCAGACAAATAAATCATTGAGATCACAACACTATCACAATGCCTCGTGGTGGGTGATGAACTGGTAATATAGATCAAGTTTTCCTCTGCTTTCCAGCAGCCTAGGAAGAGCTGAACAGAAAAGCCTGCAAAGAGCAAATCCCATGAAAGTGCTTTCTGTGTCACAACTAGTTACTTTCCTCCAGTCTACTGACATGGGGTGAGGCACGCCTCTCGCTCTAGCTCTGAGGAGTTTCTACTCCCATAGTTGGAGAACCACGTCTAAGCAAAACACGTAAAGTAGTTATTTAAATCGTTTCATTTTCCTCATAATAATAATAATTTAAAAATCCCAAGCATCACTTTCTGGCAGCTGTTGTGTCATCTTCCTTAACATCAAATATGTGTCTCTTTCTCACACACACAGTCACAAGTACCAGTCCTCCACCCTTTATGCAACACCTCAAAAAGCTGTTACTTCCTTCAATCAATGCAAGGGGATAATGTGGCCAAACACTAAACACATCACTTAGAAGCTAAAGTGATTTTGTTCATGTCACCTCAAAGGGACTGTAGAAAAAATTGGGGCTGGAAACATAGATTTTGGAAGCAAATAGATTTGAAAGCCAACCCAAGATTCACCATGCATCAACTGTGTAAACTTAGGTAAATCATTTCTCTTAACCTTAGTTCCCTCACCTATAAAACGGAGATATTAACATAAACCTCATAGAACTGTTACAAGGAATACCAACACCACACTGATCCTTGTTTACTAATGGGAAACATAAGCTACAGAAAAATATAAAACATTTTTAAATTTCATTTTATCCTAACTCACATGCTTAAATTTCTACTTAAAAGAGATCTTGGTTAAATAATGAATGTGAGCAAATTTCTGGCAGAGGCATCTGGAATGGAAAACAAAGATGAAAAAATGAGAAGTCACCAGATTGATGAGACAGTAATTTTCACATGTCTAACTTTATCCTGCTTAATAAAACACACACATATGCACACAGGACTGGATGGGGTTGGGGGTGAACGGTATCACTTTATTGCCTGCTGTGCTGTTTGAAAAATTCACACAGAGGGTTCAGTAATGCTTTATGAATCCTGGAGGATGTAACACCCACAATGTAGATTGAAAAACTTCTAAATCCAAGGTCCTTCCCCAAGGAGAAAATATGTCAGATGCAAGAGAAAATAATAGGCTTGAAATGCTTGAATACAGCATATAAATATAAGATATATTAGAAAAAAGAAATTTCATAAAGATTTAGTCATTCACCTAAACTTGTTAACTGGTATCTATTTTAACATTATTACTAGAATTATATTCATTAATATCATTTCCCATAGCCTACTTAAGTCTGAAAATATCTGACGATCAGTTTTTTACCTATAAGACAAAATCCTAAAGGTTAGGGATGAAGTTCTACTCACCCCCTCACCCCTGGACTTAGAGATGACAAATGTAGGCCTGATTTGGTCACCTAAAAGAGCTCATCTAGAGGCAACTGTGTCCAGTGGCACTTCCATGCATTGCTAGGCCCTTCAAACTCATCTTTAAACAGATGTGACTGCAGAAACAATATGTACTTTCTGTACAAATTCTGCAATAAGTGAAATTTATAAGACTGATAAAAATACAAAATGACACTTAAGTCAGGAAAAAAGTCTGAGAAAACAAAATTTTGGTTATGTTTTTGTTCACTTAAAATAGCAATCTGTTTCACATAATAAGTTTTACAGGAAGAGGAACTGAGTAATTTATCTTGTCAGTTATACTTCATAAAAATGAGGTTCCAACATTAGCTAGAAACAATTATTCAAATACAATTTAAGAAGTATAAAAGATTCTAAAAAATAGCAGCAAAAACATTGAACGTTCATAAAAATGAGCCACCAGTGACAACCCTGTGCTACCCAAATAAGTCTGAGTTCCTTTTTAAAATATTAAATATATACAATAAACCATTGAAAATTTATTTCTTAATAGAAAATGCTTGATATCTAAAACAACCTTATCAATAATACACAGAAACTGGAGTTAACATAATGCATGTTTTTCACAATCTTTTCCACAATATTTAGAGATATTATGTTGCTGCAGAGGGCAAACTTTCCAAAAGTTTTCTTCTCGCTTTGATCCTTGCACACCGGGGGCACTCAGAGGACTGGAAACACTCCTTGTGAAAGCAAGCTCTACATGCTGCAAGCAAAGGGACAGCTATCAACAAACATGCTACCTTGTTTCCTCACATACATGCAAAGCGAGTCTATATCCAGACACCAGGGTCTTCCAAAAAGAAGTCAGGCAGTTTGAAACTTGGAGGGACTGCAAACTCCCATTATGTCATGAACATGAAGCTGACAGTCTGATATTGTGAGTGCTACAGTGCCCCCCGCCCCAGACCCACCCAAGACCCATTCCCTTAGCAACTTACTGTTGGAGGCTGATGGCTCAAGAAGCAACATCCTTTCTGTGGAAATGGCCCTAACTGGAGAGAGCTGCCTTTCTCAACGTCATGACCCCTTGCTGACACTGGCCCACATCCAGTGACTAGACAATGCTGACAGCCATCCTAACTCTGGAGTCCCTTTGAAATATATGAGTCTCCATCAAAACCACACCACAGTTCATCTTCTCCCTCTGTTTAATTATGCTGCCTTCATACCCCAAAGGTGTTGAACCTAAGAACACACCCCAGTAAACTGAGTGCATGCAAACTGGACCCAAACTTCTCTGCTGGAGAACCCATCCTGTGATGCTGCCTAGTAGGCTTGAGATCAGGGTGAGAGCAGAATTCATACCCAGATCTCACCCATGAGACAGCTTAGAGAGCCTGGGATTTTGTTAGGTAATTAAACAGAAAGCATGGGCCTGCCAATCTTTTCTGTAAAATCAGGTAGTATATGTTTTAGGTCTCGTAGTCCACGTGGCACCCGTAACAGCTACTCAACTCTGCATGGCAGTATAAAAGGAGACAGAGACAATACTTCACATTGGACATGACTGTGGCCAATCACAAAACAGGGGTGACTGTAGTTTTTCTAGTACAGACACCTTGGGGCAAATGCGTAGAGCAACTGTTAAGGGGAAGGATGTCCTAAAGGAACTCTGCAGAATATTATGGACTCTACTCCCTACTCCAGCTTTCTGGACCCTACACCCTACTCCAGTGATTGGAAACTACAACTCCCAGCAGTACCAGGGAGAGAAATGAGAGGACCCAAGGGCAGAGCTAGCAGGAATTCTGGGACATTTGGGGGGAAAAGCTCTCTCGCTCTCTCACTAGGGAAGCAGCTTTCCGGACCGCGCGACTTGGTGTGGTCAGTCAGCCTAGCCGTAAGGTATTCCACTTACTTTGTATCCTGCTCTCTTTCCGTGGGTTATTTCCTATTCCTTTCCCCTTTTGTAAATAAACCTGTTATTGACCCTGCAGTGTACCTGAGTTGTGAGTGCGCAGATGAGGCCCCACAGACAGCGACCCAGTCCACTCTGGGCTACCCTGTAACACAACCACCTCTCTTCTCCCTAAACTCTTTACTAGGAAATGCTACCTTTCACCCCTGCCCCATGAAAATATGCTTCCCTTGGCAACCAAAACTTGATTTGCTCCAATCCAACATAAAACACTACCGGTATTATTATACTTTAAAGAAATAACATGTGCTTTTGTGATTAGACCACTAAGTTAATTTTGCATGTTATTACACTTAATCTAACTTATGCTTACACTTTTGTGCTATTATTAAGCTTAATTTATTAAGATTTATTTATTAAATCATTAAAATACCTGAACATCTTCTACATGTTGAGGTCTGAAATGGAAAAATAACAGCTGTACTCCGGCAAAATTCACAGATGAAGCCTTTTCCTTGACATAGCTGAAAGAGAAGGAAGAAATAGCTGGGGAGCTGAGTTAGCCCCACTTTGATAGCACTTTTAGAAGTGTCAGTGTCTCAATGTCTATTGTGCCAAACTCTAGAAGAAACACAATATTATGTCTTGCTGAAATGAATGGGTAAGGACAATAAATTCTATATCGAGGTGGTTAGAGGTGCCAGAGAAGGGTTTTAAATGCACATTCTTAATGGATCCAACTTTGCATGTGGGAGCTGTGCTAGTCTCTACCTGCACAGGTGTGAGCTTCTGTCCCACTGGATCCTGAGTCCATTTGGCTCGAGACAGGTGGAGCCCACATGACTCAGCAGCACAGGACTGCCAGGCCGCGGTGGTGCTCATCCCAGGGCCTTCTTCCCAGCCCGACCACCAAAGATGTCCATGCCCTGTTACTCAACAGTTTTGAACTATTTATCCCCACATGGAGACAATGTGACCACCACCTTCCTCAGGGGTCATGAGGGAAGAATGAGGTAATTGCACAGCACCAGCATGGCCCTGCTGCCTGAGGGACAGCCTGGGGGGGCCTCACCTCGCAGCTGGCCACGTGGGCGAGGGATGCTTTCAGAAGGTCCTTGAGCGAGGGTGCCAGCAGTCCCTTCTTGACTCTGACCAGGTCCTCCAGGGAAAACAGGTGGAGTTCATCCGTTAAGTGTCTGGGCACCTGCTCAAACTCCTGTAATGCACTGCCAGAGAGGAAGCGAAGAGGAATTCAAACCACCCACACAGAGGCTGAGGGAGAAGGAAGGGGGGCGGGGTGGAGGGTGGAGTAGGACAGGCAGTTGTTTTTCTCCTGGCACTAACACTTGACTTTTTGATTCAGTTTTTTCTAAACAATTTCTAGTACAAGTTAACCTTATTCACCACTTTACATTTTGCAAGTTTGCCTGAAAGTCAAAAAGTTAGAATTTCTTAAAAGCTGATCTCAAAAGCTGAACAAGCAGAGTAATATGTCTCTTGCAGCTGCTCATTCAGACAAAACAAAACTGAATATTGTTTTTCAAGTCTTAAAAATGTGTCCTGAGGTGATAATTACTACTTTATCCATTTCAGTTAAATTTCTGCCTTGAGGACCTCTGACAGTTGTCCCAGCCAGCAGGAGAAAGACATCTCAGGAGCAGGTGTGGGACTCCCCCACGCCCAGGAGCCTAGGTCTGAGTTTAAGATTCAAATGTTGTCAGGCCCTCTCTGGTGCCGCAGCGGGTTAAAGCACAGCACTAAGAAGCTAAAGCCACTTCAGCATGAGTTCAAGCCCCACCAGAGAGGTGATCCACATGGAGCAGCAGCCCTCTCCTGACCACCTGCTGCTCCCCTCAGCAATGTACTTAATGAATCTGCCTGTTCTGCTCCCCACTCTGTCTCTGGTGAAGCCTCTCACTGCCCCTGCACTTCTGGCCTGTACCCCAGTTCTGTAAGCACAAATAAATCTTAAAAAAAGATTCCAGTGTCAGTTGGTCACAGGCACCCAAGGCCAGCCAAGCCGATGTAACCTCCCCCAACCAGTTTGAGCTCCTCCTGAACTCCCTCATTCTATAAGGAGTACTGCTGTGCAGAGCATGCCTGCCAGGCCAGCCCAGCTCAGCCACTGCAGCCACTAGATTTGACAATCCAGTGACGCCAAAGTGCAGTTCCCCATCCAGACTATGGGGAGCACACTAGCACTGCTTCCTCTGCTGGAGGCTTCCTGACACCCCCCCTTTTTTTTAAGATTTATTTATTTGTGCATACAGAACTGGGGTACAGGCCAGAGATGTGGAGGGTGAGAGGATTCACCAGAGACAGAGTGGGGAACAGAACAGGCAGATCGAGGAAGTACACTGCTGAGGGGAGCAGCGGGCGGGTCAGGAGAGGTCTGCCACACCATGTGGTCACCTCCGGGGCAGGCGGGAATCGAACTCATGCAGAAGCGGCTTTAGATTCTCAGTGCTGTGCTTTAACCCGCTGGCCACCAGGGAGGGCCACCTGACCCCTTTTCTTTGCTGACTTTTTTTTTTTTTTTTTAATTGGCTTTTTCCTTCAGAAAGCCCTGCTGCTCTCTGTCCATCCCAAGCCTTATGAGTTAAGTGTCACCTCAGGAGCCATGCACGTGTCTATAGGCTGGCTAGAACCTGTTTTTGCTGACTTTCTCCCTGATTTAATATGAATCCTGCTGATTTTTGTCTGAAGTACAGAATGGCATTCATGGCATTTTTTTAGGCTGTAAGAATTGTGAGGATCGTTCCATGTCACAGATGAGAAAAATGAGACTGCGACTGAGAAGCAGTTAACCCGTCACACCAATGACATGAGGTATAGCTGGAGGCTCAATGATTATAGAAAACATGTTAGAAATTTACTTCAAGAGCACATATCATTACATAAGGATTAGAAACTGAAAACTGTTTTAAAATAGCATTTAAATAAAGTAAGTTTTAGAAATCTACCATTTTATCCAGTCATAACAAATAATCTCAACCCTTTTAATGATCTCTCTTTCTATTTAAAAATATTTTTTGTTTATATACAAGAATTTGTTTTGTGTATTTTACCACAATTTAAAATAATAACAACTTAAATTGAATAGAGTTGTTTTCTCCTTGTATGGCCCTTTCCTCTTATGTTAAATTCACTGCTAGAGGTTTGGTAACTCCATAGAAAGGGTCTGCATTCCAAGGAACAGCAGGAGGTAACTGCTGTACTGAGAGGGGCTGGTATTGGAGGAGAAAGACTCTGAGGCACACAGAGTTTGTGGGGTGGAGGGGTGGATGTTATAAATCCTCCCACCTCATGGCCAACTGCCCAGTGGTGGTACCTTTCAGCAAACCTGCAGGTCTTCAACAGCTTCTTAATATGAAAAAGCTGTTCCTGGGTTTCCTAATGTAAGCAAACAAAGATGGAAAGGGTTACATGTGTTGCAAGACAATTGGAGATATGTAAATCAAAATTAAATACTATTTCTAACCTGAGATGCTATGATTCTCTGAGATTAGTTTTATTAAATACTCAAAATTTACAAAGAGTCGGTTTCAGACACTCTCATTTTTCACACACACACACACACACACACACACATGATAACTATATCACATAGGATAATATTCAAGTTAGTTCAATTAATAAACATTTCACTATGTGTGTGCATATAAAATTAGCATGAGGTTCATCATAAACTTTTTATTTTAAAGTAATATTTAAAACAGCTTAATTTAAAAATAATAAAGGGCCTTCCCTGGTGGCCTTTTAAGCCTTGGCACAATCAAGCTATCACTAGCCACTGCTGCACAAGTTCCATCCCCTTCCACAGGGCAGGGCAGACTTCTCCTGTCTCACCTGCTGCTCCCCTCAGCAGTGTATTTCAGTAGATCTGCCATCTGCCTGTAATGCGCCCCATTCTGTCTCTGGTGAATCCTCTCCCCCCACTCCACCCCCGCATCTCTAGCCTATCCCCATTTCGTGTATGCATAAATAAAAATAAACAAATAAAAAATATTCAAAGCTAGGTGAAAATGCGAAACTGTATGAAAGACCCCTTGTATGCAGAAGACCCTATGCTTCAGTTTCACAGGCTTGAAGGCCAATCTGCCTGGCACAGTTTGTGTGACCTCCTGAAGTGGACATGCAGTGTATATGCTGCCCCAGGGCAGGGGCAGCAAGCAGCTCACCCTCAGTCTGTCCAGCTCCTTGGCCTTCGTATACAGGCTGCGGTTGATGCTCAGCAAGTTGAAAACAGGCTGATGCCAAATGCTGTCCAGCAGCCATTTGGAGAAGTTGCTGACGTAGTACTTCTTAAAGTCCCATGCCATCAGGATGCGGGCAGGGATGCAGGACTCCATGCAGGTGTGGCAACAGTCACAGAAATACTTTCCCAGGTACTCACAATACCTGAGCCGCTTCACAAACTCTGCAGATCACAGGAGTAAAAAGTGCCGCTCAGCCAGCGCTGAAGATCAACTCCTCTCTCCCCACTCTCAATACCCACCCAAGGGTGGAAAGGCGGCTGTTTCCTATTGCTAATATCATGTCACACTCTGCCTCACAGCAGTTGGGAAAGTGAGGACAGGGACTGGAGACCTTAAATCAAAGCCATTCATGAAGTTGGCTTTTGTGGAACAGACCTTGGGAAAAAAACATCCTCTCCAATACTCAGAATGTGAAAGACAGTGTTGTAAACTCGATGTAGTCGAAAGGACGTTAGATTTAAGGTCTAGAAATCTGGTGGGAGCTCAGACTCCACCTCTCCCTGGTAGCACTGAAGGCAAGTGGAGATCTTTTCAGGCAAACTGCCCTAAGCCCACAGCTACTCAAAACTGGACAAAGGATGTCACATGGCTGAAAAGCGGTCTGTGACTTGCAAAGACCTACCCAAGGTCAGGAAGTTGTACCCACCAAGAGTTCTTGGATAAACCAGTGAGGAACAGGATATAAATGCCCAAAGTATGGCAAAAGACAATGCACAGAAAGATTAAATGCAGATTAGGGGCAAGGCTGTGAAAAACATCTTCAATAACAATGAAAAACATACACATTAAAAGAGTGAAACAGCACTTTAGTTACTAGGACTGTCACAGATTAGAAGCTGCAGAGCTGTTACTTTTACAACTAATTAACAAACAAATGGTTTGGAGACTAATGCAACAAATACCTTGGTACAGCAGTTAAGTCTTTGAATCTCTTCCTTAACACTAGAATGTAAGAGGAACAAGCTCAAACTCACGGATTTTTTTTTTAATTAAAATATCATAAGGACAGGGCCCTCCCTGGTGGCTCAGCCAGTTAAAGCACAGAGCTAAGAAGTTTAAGCCACTTCCGCATGAGTTCCATTCCTGCCTTCCCCTGAGGAGATCCACATGGCGGGGCAGACCTCTCCTGGCCCGCCCGCTGCTCCCCTCAGCAGCGTACTTCATAGATCTGCCTGTTCTGCTCCCCACTCTGTCTCTGGTGAATCCTCTCACCCTCCGCATCTCTGGCCTGTACCCCAGTTCTGTATGAATAAATAAATAAATCTTTAAAAATATATATCATAAGGAGGACCTTCCCTGGTGGCACGCCATGTTAAAGCACAGCACTAAGAAGCTAAAGCCACTTCAGCATGAGTTCGATCCCCAGCCCAGAGGTGACCTACATGGCACAGCAGACCTCTCCTGACCCACCCATTGCTCCCCTCAGCAGTGTACTTCGTTGATCTGCCTGTTCTGCTCCCCACTCTGCCTCTCGTGAATCCTCTTACTGCACCTGCACCTCTGGCCTGTACCCCAGTTCTGTATACATAAATAAATTAATCTTTAAAAATATATATCATAAGGAACAATGCAAATATTAGTTGACACACATGGGAGGATTAAACGGGACAATGGATACAAAAGCAGCTACCGTAGTGCCTAGCACACTATAGATTCTAAATATAGTTAGTTGCCTTATAATGATTAAAAATAAACTGGGATGACTACAGGAGCAAAGCTTAATTGAATACTTCCTTGGTGTACCTCACTGGTTAAAAGTCTGACATATGTATACCACAGCATTTGTGCTGGTATCTCTGTGAGGGACTATCACTTCCTCTATTTCGTGGGTGAAAGCACAGACAATGTTGTTAAGTCACATGCCAGAGATAAACAAACAGTAAGCAGACAAGAAGGATTCCAACCCACAGGCTGCTGAAGTTCCAGCTATTTGCCATCCTCCTCATCTGCCTTCATCAATGGAAGGAATAAGAGAGGAACAAATGCCTTCACATTTGCCCACATTATCTCTCAGACCCAGGTCAAACTCAGAGCTGATTTTTAAATGCAAACAAACAAATAGATTGAGTCTTATTATTTGTAGTTATTACTGCATAAAGTTACCACGAACGGTGAATTAGTGAATGCGGAAGCATTGTTTCTTGGAGAAATACAGGGTGTGGGTTCTGTGAGCCTCTGGGAACATTTTTTTCACCAGATTAAAATATAACTTTGGTTTCTGTTTAAAGATGGCTTATTTAAGATATATTGTTGATTCATACCTTGAATTCAGAACTAACAGTGTTATAACTTATGCCTGAATGAAGTTTATCTAGTGCAGGTATTTTATTCTATCTGGCACATATCCAGGAGGTATTCGTTGGCCACTGAACTCCTTATTTCTGAAAATACTTAACAAAATTGGAAGACAGAGAAGGTCAGAGGGAGCTAATAAATTTTCCTGATATAATTCTTCTTTCCCTAACATTCGAAATACTAAATTCCATCAAGTTTCATTGAATAGATATACTAAGCATTATATTATCATTACAGAATAAATTTTATCTCTTTTTTACTTCTTCAATTCTTTAATTAAAACAAAACAAAGCATCCTAAACAGTGTTCTCAATCAGGAAAGACTCTCCACCTTCTCCAAAGAACACTTGAAATGTATAGATGTATTTTGGATCCTTGTAGTTGAGGAGCGGCCAGTGCTGACTGTGAGGCTGCAAAACATCTTACAGCACAAACGACATGCGGCAGCCAACTGCCCTGGCTTTGAGAAACCCTGAGCCAAATCATAATTGTTTTCATCTTTTAAAAAAGAAAAAAAAAGATTTTATTTATCTATGCATACCAGTTTTCATCTTAGGCAAAGGCAAAGTAATTGACAAAAAAAAAAAAAAAAAAAACAGGAGAGAAAATTTCTATAACAGTGGTGTCTAAGAGAACTTTCTGTGAAAATGCAATGTTTTCTCTGTTTAATCTGATACAGTAGCTACTGGCCACACATGGCTATTAAGCACTTGAAATGTAGCTAGTGTGCCTGAGAAACTGGACTTTTAATTTGAATGAATTTAATTTTAAATAGCCACATGGGCTTATAGTTACCACAGTGTATAGTACAATTCTAGAATAAAATTGATTAAAGAGAAATAATAACTAAATGCCCTCTATGAAATTTGGTTGGAATCCAGATGGGAAAATTAGTTATGAACGACATCTTAAGGACAACAAGTGAATATGGATTAGCATTAGACCACATTAGAAAATTGTAATTTTGTTTGGTGTGACAGCTGTTTCACCATTATTGTTAGAAGGTCCTGAAGTGTTCAAGGATAAAATGTCACACTGTCATGTCTACTGATTTACTTTTCAAGTGTCTTGATGTGCACTGAAGCTATAGAGGGAAATAAATAGACATGATCAACCCAATGTTGAATACTAAACTGTAGCCAAGAACCGCTAAGAACCGCATCAGTGAAAAGCTGGTGAAATCTGAGCATAGACTGTAGCTCTCAATTCATAGGATGGTACCAATGCTAATTTCTCAGGTTTGGTCATTATACTGTGATTATGTGGGATATTAACATCAGGGGAAATTGGATAAATGGTGTATGGGGTGTCACTGTCACTTTTGCATCTCTTCTTTACTTCTAAAGGTGTCCCAACATAAAAAAAAAAAAAGGTTTTAAGAACTGTAAGAGGTCCACAGGAAATGTAAAAATTGTTTACATGGTTGCTAATATTTTTTCCAATAGTCCTAGTGCTCTGCCTAGCTCTGCAGGAAATTTTCTCCCTCTTAATCTCCAGCTGCATAGGATTTTTTTTTTTTTTTGTAGTAGCCACTGACCCTTTGCACATGATGATTCCCCCTAACACAATCTTCTGTGACTATCACTTCCTTTTGAAATCTCTCACTACCAGTTTACACATCCAGACTAAGTTCCCTTAATCTAAATTCCGGAATGTTCTTAACTTTCTCTGTAGTCGCATTCATTGCCCTTTCTATGACTATGGCTTCTTGTAATAAAGCATGAGGGAAAGACCACATTTGTACCAATCGTGTATAGTCACATTTTCATATTTGAAAAAGTACTTAGAAAGTAGAATCATATCAACATGTCCAAAGCTTATGACTCATGTACTCAGTGTTTACAGAAGCACTTGGATACCGTGGTTAACCAAATAGACAGTGCCTGTTAGATTATCTGGGAAGATGAGTCAGTTAAAGAAAATCAGTTACAACTATAATCCAGGGCAGCCATTGAGCCATTGTCACTCAATGTGATAGAAGGAAACCCAAATAGATTTCTGCTTGCTACTTTATTTCTTAAGATGGAACGCCTCTAAGTCTTCTTCCTTCCAAGACTACCTAATCAGAGAACAAGGAAATAATTTCCAGCAAAAATCCTTTTTCCAACACCTCCGTAGGTCAGTCCTACGGGTATCCTCACAGCTGAACAAGTGATCCCCACTCTCAGGTTAAGCCTGATTTGCTAAGCTTCCACTGGCCTAGAAATGATTCCTTCACGCTTTCAAATTGTCAAAAGTGTTTGGGCAGCTCAATGATAAGCCTATCACTCATTCAACAAATTCCAGGTACTCTAGGAGGAACAACGGAAAAAGCAATGAGTAAATCAGACAGTCTATCTGTCCTCTCTGCACTAGAACAAAAGAAAAAAAAAGAAAAAAAGGAAGAGTGATATAAATTAAACATGCATCTGTTAGTGTGTGGTGAGATGAATGTTTCCAGTAGGGCATCCAGGGAAAACCTCATCACTTTTGAGTGAGAGTGAAGACACGAAGGAAGTTAAGGAACCAGTCATGGAGATGAGTGTGGGGAGGGCCATTTCAGGCAGAGTAAACCACATAACCCTTAGTAGAAATGAGCCAGACACTTCCAAAGCAATAGTAGGGAGAACTTGTAACTGCAGCTGAGTAGCCAGCAGGAGTAGATATAAGAGACAGAGTCCAAAGTTGGTAGGCTATTACATGACCCTGTAGGTCACAAAGGTCTCTACCTGAAAGAGGTGCAATGCCATGAAGTTCTTATCACAATTTATTACCAAAGATATCCTCACAAAAACAATGTACTGCCCAACTCTGTTGTTCTTTGTCCTGTCATCACATAATAAATAGGTCATTCATTGCCCATACTTACTAGGTTCTACTGGTGTTCCACAGCCGGCACAGAAAAAATTCTGGGCTGCTACCACAAGGTCCCTCCTGAGTACAGAAAATGATAAGTCACATTTCAGAAAAGGCCATGAACACTTTTCACTGACTGGAAAAGAAACTGACATCATGACACTTTTCTTGTCTTGGGGACTTTAATTTTGTCATTTTTCATTTGGGAAAGAGATTTGAGATTTTTCATCTGGTGGTGCAAGGGGTGAAGCACAGCACTATGAAGCTATCCACACCCACTGCAGCACAAGTTCAATTCCCATCAGACAGGTGACCCACATGGCAGAATGGCAGACCTCTCCTGTCAGGCCTGCTACTCTGCTCAACAGTCTATTTCAGTAGATCTGCCTGTTCTGTTCCCCCCTCTGTCTCTGGTGAATCCTCTCAAACCCCCACACACACCTCTGGCCTGTACCCCAGTTCTTGTATGCATAAAAAAATAATCTTAAAAAAAAAAGAAAAAGAATATTTCAGTGATGTTTTTGGGCTAACATTTTTGGCTCTTTTAACAGCAAAGTCAGTATCACAAATAACTGTACCACCAAAGGGTCTTGAAAAACTCTCCACTGCACATAGTTTTCTTTCTTCAGAGAGAACTAGACACAGAATGTATGAAAATTCATGAAGACAAGACACCAAAAGACAATGCCTTTGGGAAATTCACTGACAGATGCAAAGATATCAGTTAGAAAATATAAGGCAAAGCCATAAAATATAACATAAAAGATCATCTATTATTGTGCTTTCTAGCAAACTGTTGATGCCACAATTTCACATGCTATTTGTAAAAGCCAAGAAATTTCTTAAATTTTATTATTATCTGGGGTCAGTAAATGTGACAGGTAAAAATATGCAGAATTTCTGGCCATGTGCCTTAGAATGTGAAATCTCAAGAGGCCTGGAGAGGGTGCTTTGCCCAAGGAGCACCAAAGCATCCTCTTGAAAGAAAAAGAGAAAGCAGGACATTAAATATGTATACAGAGTACATGCAATGATCCTTCCAAGCCCCTTTACAGCTCTGCAGTTTGCACACCCAATTAAATACAAATAAGAAGTACGGAAAATTTGGAGTTGGTTAAAATGTTCCTTTGTCTATAAATGCCATGCACACTCAGAAAAATAAATTAACCACTTTAAATATATGTGTGTGTGTGTGGATGTAATACATACACAAATGAATTTATTTCTTTTAGTCTCAGCAGTTTTGTCTCTAAGGATTCTATTATTTCTTAGAAAAAAATTAAAATACTATATTTGTTACATTTCTTAACGATGGGTCTCCTAAAGATGAAATTTTCCTTTTTTTTTATTTTAAGATTTATTTATTTATTCATACAGAACTGGGGTACAGGCCAGAGATGCGGAGGGTGAGAGGATTCACCAGAGACAGAGTGGGGAGCAGAACAGGCAGATGGGTGAAGTACACTGCTGAGGGGAGCAGCGGGCGGGTCAGGAGAGGTCTGCCGAACCTTGTGGTCACCTCCCGGGCAGGCAGGGATCGAAATCATGCAGAAGTGGCTTAAGCTTCTTAGTGCAGTGCTTTAACCCGCTGCGCCACCAGGGAGGGCCCGAAATTTTCCTTTTTAAAAAAATTATTAATTATTCTTGTTTCACACTATACTAGGAAACAGATAGTGTAAAATGATGACACACTTGCATATGACCTTTAAGGAAGACTTAATAATATTCACTTTAAACATCCATTAAAGAAGATTTAATTTTCAATTGATATGTAATGGTCATAAGTAGAGCGACAGGACCCCCCAAAAGCCCATGATAGCGCTACAGGACCCCCCAAAAACCCATGATAAGCGCGGTGCTAAAAAAGCTGACCTAACTTTCCTTTTCCTAAAACAAAATTTCCTATCTCTTAACATATTCTTTTTTGTGTGTGAGGGGGTGGGGAGGTGGGGGTGGGAGGAAGTACTTGCTTCCACAGTGAGTCACATGGGATCTATCACAACTTGTTTATATTGGATTGGGTTCCCAGACTTACTTGAGTGGTGGGTGAATATTAAATATGATTTGAAACCTAGGGGGTGCCCAGTCGTCAGTCCCTCTGATCCTCGACTGAAATTTAATTTCTTGCACCACATTCACACTAGATTCAAGGTCTTTTGGCATATTCTCTTCATTGACAACCTGTTAACACAGAAGGGGATATAGAAACCAGTTAAGCTAGCAAGTTTTAGCAACTGAAGTAAAAACGACATTCAAATGTGTTTCCAACATTAAAAATTAGCATGAAAAGTTAAAGCTGCTTTCCAGTTGCTCCCTAAGGAACAACTGCTTGACACACATCAAGCTGGGGTCATTTTTCATAGTATTTTTGGTTAGGTCATTTGTATCTATACATCAAATCTCTGTAAGTCAGCTTGTAAGTGGGGCTACTTTCACACAGGACAGATGTCTACCCCACCTAGTCAACAGACTCACAGACTCACAGCCAAAGAGAAGTCCCTGCTGTTGTCAGAGGTTCTCAGAAACGGCTCCACTGAGCCCATTCTAGAAATATTCTGGGACTCCCCTTCAAACCATTAAACTTTCCCATTAGCATTAAAAATGCAAACCTAGGGCCCTTCCTGGTGGCGCAGTGGGTTAAAGCGCAGCACTAAGAAGTTAAAGCCACTTCAGCATGAGTTCGATCCCCGCCTGCCCTGGAGGTGACCCACATAGCACCACAGACCTCTCCTGACCAGTTGGCTGCTCCCCTCAGCAGTGTACTTCGTTGATCTGCCTGTTCTGCTCCCCACTCTGTCTCTGGTGAATCCTCTCACCACAACTGTACCTCTGGCCTGTACCCTAGTTTTGTATGCACAAATAAATAAATCTTAAAAAAAAAATGCAACCCCCTCAAATTAGCATTCGGCATCCTCCACAGTAGGACTACTATCCCCCTTGAAGACCAACATGTACTCCATTTACACACAGAGACACAGGTAAAGGCATTTTCCAGGCACAGCAAATCACTCTGCAACACACCAGGTACCCCCAGGGCACTGTGGCTTCAGTGCACTTTTCCAAGATGTCTTTCCACAAGTTTCTGACCGGCCTGCTCATACTCCCTTTAAGTTCCCCTCCCTTGCGCTACCAGTGTTCTGTCCTCTCCCCTTATTTTAGCAGAGGCCATAAGTTCCAACAGCAAGCAGGCTGCTCACTGAGAGGGGGCAGGGCATCATACAAGGGGCCAGCCTGGACTTCAAAATTCCTCAGCATGGACACAACTCCTCTCTGTCAAAGACCAGTCCCACTGGTGATCTGAAACTAACACTTTAAAATAAAAGTAACACTGACACATACCTAACAGGAAGCTTAAGAGGATGAAAACATGAGTTGCTGAGCCCATTTCTGGGTGCATTCTGGGTGTATACCAGGCACTCAATAAATACCAGTTTTATCCTTCATTTTGGGTCTCCCTCAACACCTAGTCACCATATAAAGAAGCACAAACATGTCTGAAGTGAAAGGCAAAATGACAACTGAGGAACTTCCGATGCAAAGCAATACATTCTGATACTTACTACTGAGCTAACTGCATTGGGAGAACCTGAATAGCGATGATTAACTTCTGATAACATCCAGCACTTACGAAACACTCGGTACAGCTCTTTGGCTATTAGCTCCACAGAACTGAAGTTTGGCTCACAAATGACACTGAAATGTAAGCGATACAAATAGTAGAAAACTGTATTCATGTTTTATATTTATATGCACTTCATATTTATATTTTATTTAATATATGTATAATCATTTTATATTTATATCCATGCCCCTCTATGTTAAGGGCCTTTAGATTTTCAATTCCCCTTCCCTCTCCAAAAACTCAGAGGAGAGATCTTTGAGGAGAAAATGCGTCAAGCACTCAATTTTCTCACTGTACAGTTCTTCCGTGATCACAAAAGTAGCTTTTATTTACTGAAGCTTGAAGGTGTGATGGTTAAAAAAAATAAAAAAAAGCATTGGCTTTGGACTCAGGAAACTTAACTTCAAGTCCTATTTGACAGTATTGCACCCTGAGGGCCACATGAGCCTCAGTTTTCACATCTGCAAAATTACGTTAAAAACAAAAATGCTCAGTTTATCCATGAGCATCAAATGAGAATAGCTACAAATTTATAAATGCTGTGAGAATACCTCGAAAGTTCAGTGTGCCTCTTCATTTCTAAGTGGCAATCCCTGTCATTGTAACTGGCCAATGTGGCCCATGACCTCAGGGGCTCAGGTTACAAAGTCTCAAAAGTGGGGGGGGGGTAGTATGGGTTTACTGCACATGGAAGTGGAAGCAGATACCTCTGAGAAGAGCTGTGTGAACATCCATCGTTTTCGGTTGTATTGCTAAACTCTCCAAGTTCTGTGTGAAAATGAAAGAAAGAGTAGTGAAGTCTTCAGTCTGTTTCCCTAAATCATAGTCAATATTATAAGAAGAACACAAGAGCTCTCTACCTCTCAAAAAGAAACAATTAATTGTTCAGTAGTGCCAAACTTCTGGTACTTTAGATTTCTACTGACACTGCAGCAAATCACCAAAGATGGGATTTCGAAATAAACTCATCTAAAAAGTTACCAGAATATAACTGAGAAGCCAACTAAATATGAATACTTGATTTTTGCATTTAATTCTACAACTAAATGAGAAATTAACTCTTAAGATACTGGAAACAGAAGAACATATTATTTATTTATTTATTTATTATTTATTTTTATCAGGGACATAATCTGGTCTTGGGAGAAGTGTCCTCAAATGCCACTCTAATGTGGCATTGGGTAATGGTTGACCATACATGTGTGTGCGGGAGCAGGGAGTGGGGGGTGGTCCTACTCATATCTACTGAGTTCTGAAATCTCACCTGAAATAACAGATTCATCCAAGTCGTATTTGCAGGTTGCTTTCACTGCATCATAGTAAGTAGGTGGTTCAATCACAGGACTAACCTGTAATACAGCACAACCTAGAAAAAAGAAGAAAAGGCACTTCACATAAGAAGAAAACGAAAGACTGAAACACTGATGAGTAGATGGAGTTTCATAATAAATTCTACTCCTAAGTATATTTGAAAAACTACACTAAAAAAGTTCATAATGGTACTCCCTGGTGGAGCAAAGGATTAAAGCCCAGCACTACAAAGCTAGCTGCAGCCACTTCAACGCAAGTTAGATACCCAGCTAGGGAGATGACTCACATGTCACAGCAGACATCTCCTGTCTCACCCACAGCTCCCCTCAACAGTGTATTTCATCAGTCTGCCTGTTCTGTTCCCCACCTCTGGCCGGTACCCCACTTCTGTATGCATAAATAAATAAATCTTTTTTTAAAAGCCATCAAGGACATCACCAACACAATAGAAAAGAGTCACTGGGATTAAGTTCTCTCTTGGATACAGTAAATAAGGGGGGGGGGGGAAATGCAGCCTCCAGCCAAGACCCAGATGTTCTTAACAGGATTAGCCACCCAGGGGAAGCAGGAGGAAGGTGAGAGCAACTGAGGAAGAAATGAGTGGGAGATAGTGACCAGGACCCTGTCCACCTTCCCCCCTCTACAAACCCAGAACACCTTGACCAAGGAAAGAAAAGGAGGAGAAAAAAATTCTGAAAGCAACTGGGAAAAGCTGAAACAACTGAAAACCCCAGAGGGTGAAACAACAAAGGTCAGCAGGTTGATTGGTACGGTGTGGAAGGGAGCGGGACTAAAACATAACCTGGGGGAGGGGGGAGGGAGAAAAGACCTGTGAGAAGGATAAGACTCAGCCTTCTTGCCACCACTGGGGCAGGCAGGGGCTGGCTACAGCCTACAGGAACACCCAGAACACTGGGTGGAGAGGGGAATGGGATCAAAAGGGGTGGGAAGGGCCCTCCCAGGTGGCTCAGCAGGTTAAAACAGCACTGCCCTCCCTGGTGGCACAGCAGGTTAAAGCACAGCACTAAGAAGCCTAAGCCACTTCCGCATGAGTTCGATTCCAGC